CTTTACTTTTGTCTTTTAAGACTGATTTCAGCTAGTGATGTGGGTTAAAGCAATATAATATTAATTCACTGTCGTGGGTGATAGAAAGCTACTCCTGCCTTGTAGTTTCTCTCTTAAGTAGGTCAGAAGTAGCAGGTAATTTTCATCAGCAAAGCAATTAGATTTTTAACCCTTACCTTTCACATCACTAGAGCTCTGGGAGTTCACACAGAATTCAGTGTTATCTACTGACTGTAAACCAAAATGTAAAGGAGATCAAACCAGTCAATCCTAAAGGAAATTAGTCCTGAATATTCACTGGAAGAACTGATACTGAAGCTGAAGTGCCAGTACTTTGGCCACCTGATGCGAAGAACTGACTCATTGGAAAAGACCCTGATGCTGGGAAAGATTGAAGGCAGGACGAGAAGGGGACCACAAAGGATGAGATGGTTGGATGGCATCACCGACTCAATGGACATGAATGAGTTTGAGCAAGCTCTGGGAGTTGGTGATAGACAGGGAAGCCTGGCGTGCTGCAGTCCATGGGGTGGCAAAGAGTCGGACACGACTGAGCAACTGAAATGACTGAAGGATATAGTGTTCCTTCAGTTCAGTTCAGTTCACTCAGTCGTGTCCGACTCTTTGCCACCCCATGAATCGCAGCACGCCAAGCCTCCCTGCCCATCACCAACTCCCGGAGTTTACTCAAACCCATGTCCATTGAGTCAGTGATGCCATCCAACCATCTCATCATCTGTCATCCCCTTCTCCTCCTGCCCGCAATCTGTCCCAGCATCAGGGTCTTTTCCAATGAGTCAGCTCTTCACATGAGGTGGCCAAAGTCCTGGAGTTTCAGCTTCAGCATCAGTCCTTCCAATGAACACCCAGGACTGATCTCCTTTAGGATGAACTGGTTGGATCTCCTTGCAGTCCAAGGGACTCTCAAGAGTCTTCTCCAACACCATAGTTCAAAAGCATCAATTTTTCGGCACTCAGCTTTCTTCACAGTCCAACTCTCACATCCATACATGACCACTGGAAAAACCATAGCCTTGACTAGACAGACCTTTGTTGGCAAAGTAATGTCTCTGCTTTTTAATATGCTATCTAGGTTGGTCATAACTTTCCTTCCAAGGAGTAAGCATGTTTTAATTTCATGGCTGCAATCACCATCTGCAGTGATTTTGGAGCCCAAAAAATTAAAGTCTGACACTGTTTCCACTGTCTCCCCATCTATTTCCCATGAAGTGATGGGACCAGATGCCATGATCTTAGTTTTCTGAATGTTAAGCTTTAAGCCAACTTTTTCACTCTCCTCTTTCACTTTCGTCAAGAGGCTTTTTAGTTCATCTTCACTTCCTGCCATAAGGGTGGTGTCGTCTGCATATCTGAGGTTATTGATGTTTCTCCCGGCAATCTTGATTCCAGTTTGTGCTTCTTCCAGCCCAGCGTTTCTCATGATGTACTCTGCATATAAGTTAAATAAGCAGGATAGTGTTCCTTAATTAGAACTAAACTTGCTTGTGGGAAGCAGGTTCCCAGTTAAACCAAGAAATAGTCATATTTGAACCCTGAATTATTACATGATGTTTAGGATGATGGGAGTTGACAGGTAGGGGTGCAGGGGTCAGAAAGAGAACCAGTAGTTAGCGAATTCACAATGTCCACTTTTGAGGCTAGTTTCATTGATGAAGGCCATTGTCAGATTGGACTGAGAATTGTTTCAAACCCCCATTTTTCTCTCAATAAATTCACATTCTTTCCTTTAGCCAGTCAAAGCTGCTAAAACTCTAGTTAGCAGATCTAAGAAAAATCAACTCATAGGGAAGGTACAGGAGGAGGTAAACATGACTTAGAGGGGACTTGGGATTACTAGTGCTATTATATTTGCACAGATAATGCCTCCTCACTACTGCCATTCCCAGGCTGCTCAATCTTCCTGTTTACTGTAATCCTGCTTCTCTGGGAATTACTTCTGTCTTCTCCAAGACACTTTCTTCCCAATACAGGAAGGGCTTGCTTATTTATTCAGTAGCAATGTTGAATATTTAGCAGATGTAGTGTTCAATCCATTGGTGTCGGTGTGTATACACACACAAACATCCATAAATGCTGAACAATAAGGAGATCCTGAACAACTTGAAATTTCCATAACCAGGAGGAATTTTGAAATCTAATTCCAGGTGGCTTGGTTGTAATATCTGTTTATGTCTGTATTTGAAAATTAAGCCTGAGTATCAAAATGAAATTTGTTCAGCATTATAAATACAATGAATAAAGAATTTTATCCACCCCTCTCTCTAAAAAGAAAAACATATATATATAACTCAGGTAAGTTAAGGAAAAACAATACCTAGAAACATTAAACTAGGACAGCAAAGGAAATAGAATGGACGTGAGAGAAAGATTATACTTGCAAGGTGGGACGAGGGGAATCCCTTTTAGTAGGGGGCTGGGGATTATCCAGAAACAAATCACTGCTTTGTTCTCTAGCAGAGTTGAGATTCTCCTTCACCCCCAGAATTGCCTGTTTTCTCCCTATAGCTTCTGACTCTGAAATTGCTCATGGGAATGGGTGGGGCCTCACTGTTCCTTCCTTTCCATCTTAAAATGGTCACATTTGCAGAGCATGCTTCTTGAGTCCTTCACACTGGCGGCTTCTCCATGCTGCCTTGGGCTCTACTCTCCTTATAGCTGTAGCACCATGGCAACAGGCCCAGCCTAGAGCCCAGGAACCTTGTTTATGTTACCTGAGGGGCTGGATGCAGCCTGAAGAAGAGAAGAATATTACCTGTCCTGCAGCCGGTTTAGAAGATGAAAGTGTTCCGTTTCATGTGTTTCTGTTCTGCTGCTATTGAAGACTTGAAATTACACCTGGAAAACATTTATTCAAAGATGCTATCAGTAACTGAAGGCAGCAGGGGAAACTATCTTGTGTTGGTTCTTGTCTGCTAACCAGAGTTGTCTTCTGAGATGTAGTTCAGACAAAGTGGGTGCTGCGCTGCGACATGTGGCCACGCTATGATTTGGGGGTGTACTCCAAGGTGGCTGTACTGTGCTGCGACATGTGGCCGCGCTATGATTTGGGGGTACACTCCAAGGTGGCTGTACTGTTGCTTCACGTAGGTAGACGTTTATTTGACTTGAGATAACATTATGTTTTAGAATATTTTCCTAGAGAGTTTAAAAAATAAAAGTAAGCCTTTTGTCATACGTCTTATTTTAAATATGCCTTCTTCATCTTTCCTGTTGAAAGGCTTACTCCCAGAGCGGGAGAGGCTTCTCTTCTCCAGGCAACTCCTCCTGGGAAAAAGGGGCTGGAATTGTTGTTTCATTTGTATTTAGGAACGGTTTTAGTTATCATGTTGCCTCAACCAGGCTTCCCATGAAGCATACTGGGAAAGGATGTATGGTAATTACGTTAAAATTTGTTTTTGCATTTAGTTATTTATAGTTGATATGCTATGTTGACAGTATGTGACATGACATTGTTCTATCCACTAGAACAAAAGGAAATAAATGTGCAGCTATTAAATTGTTCTATTTTTATGTACAAAACATTAGGTGGGTTTTGTGCAGACTTTGTATTATCAACGGTAAATGTAATTATTGACTCTTTGACCTTAAAAAGACTACTGAATATGAGAACACATGTTTTGTGTGTGGAAAGAAGACTGAACTAAAATCCTAGTCTTAGGATGTTTTTTACTGTATGTATGGAATTTGATTAAACAGTGTTGGAATGGAACCAGAAGGGAAAGAGCAGCCTTTAGTACTAGTTTCCTATATCTCATTACTTTATAATTTAACTGCAAGCTACTCTGACATTAAGTATTTCAGTTCCTTTTAATGTTAACATGGTTATTTCAAGGAAATGAATGAAGCTGCTTATTTAATGCATTTTACAAAAACAAATATCTTTCTATAAGACATTTCTTTTTATCCCTATTACTAGGTACTTCTACTTAAAATACATGTATTTAACTCTGGGTGTTTCAGTCAATAAATATTATAATTACTGAGTAAAACTGCATAGCTATCCAGTTCTGGATTCGAGAATTTGTGTTTTATATTGTTTGGCTTCACACAGTGAAGTACTAGCTCCTGTAGTGACAAGAGTCACAATTCCCCACATTCCAACGAGTGGACAAAACAAACCGGAACCCCTGAATGGTGCTGACAAAGATCTGTTCTTCTAGATGGGAGTTGGAACATTTCTTTGGAGGGTGGGAAGTGTCTTCAAGGCATTTTACTGTTCATTCATATTTGTACAATAAAGCATAAATAGAAACAAAAGCTTGCCAGAAAAGAATTCCATATTGAGATGAAAACCAGACCTTTTGAAAAGCAGGGTCTTGTGCTGAGAAGTTTGGCTTTGTTTCTGAGTATGTATGTGTGTGTTTATCCTGCCAAAGCAGTGAAGCTAGAGCCACTACTGTTTTGTCAGTGATAGTGGTAGGATAAAACTATGGCATGGGGGAAGGAAAAGAAACCATTGGTATTTTGTTGTTGTTGTTGTCTTCAAAGTTATTTTTTAATTTTTCTTCTTTTTTTTTCTGAATACTAATTTTTTAAAATATTTTATTTTATTTTTTTCTATTTATTTTTATTAGTTGGAGGCTATGAAGTAAGCCAGAAAGACCATCTGTCTTTAAATAAGACCTTTGCATAAAAAAGAAACGTGTAAGGTTACCTTGAATGGTATCTATTTCTCCATCTCCAGCACAGGAATGAGAAAAAAAAACAATGTCTATGGTGGAGCTTCCAGCTCCCTTGAGATTAGTAAGGTTATAGTACATTTTTGTGTTTTGTTGAAAAAAGAAAGTATGTGTGTGCACACACACATGAATATATATGTGGTTTCTTTGTGTCCCATGAATATGATCCTATCATTATTACAGATTTATTTTTCTCTTTAGGCATTTATCCATTTGTTGTTAAACCTCCACTGCATTTGACCTTTATTTTCTTATTGGCCAAGTAGTTACACTACCATAAATATCTTTTTCTCCTTTTAGGTCTCGTGGGCTGCCTAAACTAAAAGAGTCCCGTTCTCATGAATCTTTGCTGAGCCCATGCAGTGCTGTGGAATGTCTGGATCTCGGTAGAGGGGAGCCTGTATCGGTAAAGCCACTCCATAGCAGCATCCTTGGACAAGACTTCTGCTTTGAGGTAGGGAAGTCTAGGAAAAACGAAGAGTAGTAAGACAGCAAAGAGATTTTCTATCCAGTATTCTTGTGATTTCTTTACTGTATTATTGATGATTTAGTCATCTTAACTGGTTTTCAGTTACTGAAAATTACCTACTTATAGGGGAAAAATTAGAAATCTGCTAATCTATTTATGTTGGTAATTAAAGTTATTAATAATGGCTTCTCATTCCTTTTGGCTTTGTCTGCTTTCAAAATAAATGAAATTCTTAGTGTGTTCTCAGCTGAGATCACAAGATTAATACTAAATTATTAGTAGTATTTTAATCTTTTGGTATTGATAAAGATATCACATAGTATGTTACTATTTTTCTTCTGAAAAACCTAAGTCCCTAATTTTAATGATTCTTTGAGGGAAAAATACCAAAACCATAATTTTTTCTAACTAAAACCTGAATGGTTCAAGATCTGGGATCATGTCTTCTTTATTTTTATAATATCTGTGCACTTAGCTAGCTCTCTGGCACATTGCATGTGCCTAATTTCTTCAGTGAACAAACTGCCCTTTACCAGAAAATTATCACTTTTTATAAGGTAATATTCCCCTCCCAAACTAAATGTACACAATTGGCCATTTGCAAATTTAACTTCAAAACCATCTGTGTACTTGTTAGCATTATGATTTAATTAATTAGCACAAACTTACAAAATTACTAATGATGAGTCCTATGTTAGGTGTTGTAAAAGTTGAAAGATATCTGATACTCATTCTTATGGACCTGCCCTATCCAACAGAAATACAGTGCAAGCCATGTGTGTGATTTTAAATTTTATTAAACCCAAATGTTACCACTTCCAACATGTAGCTAAAATAAAATGATCAACTTTTCACCTTCTTTTTTTTAAACTAAGTCTTCAAAATCAGATGTGTGTTTTACACTTAACCACACATCTCAGTTTGGACTAGTTGTTTTTCAGGTGCTCACTAGCCACCTGTTGTCAGTAGCTACCATATTAGACAGAATGTAACATCTGATCTAATTCACTAGGTTATAAACTAAGAGTAAGTTACTATGTGAGCCACTTTAGCAGTTTGGACAGGTCATTTATTGGTGTTCTTTTTTTATAAAAGTCTCTTAAAGTTTGCCCTATTTGTGGAAATCAGTTCAACAGATTGTATGCCAAGACAGGTGTTAGGTTCTAGACATAGAGACAACATACTTCATTTTTAAAGGACATTGGTAATAATATTCAAACTAACCTAATGACTGGAAATCAACTGACTGGTTGCCTAATAGAAGAGAAATGGGTTCCAGAGTAATTAACTCAACACGACTAACTCTTTTCAATTTCATGTAGTAGCCTTCTGTAATATTATAGTGTGAAGGCAGTCCCAAGGAATAAGCTGTTAGAGACCTTCTTCCCTTTTTATTTTTTTATTAACTCACTCAGAATTGAGGATATTTATTTGCAGGTAATTTTTAAAGGTATTAATTTAGTTAGAGGTTTTCAGTTTTGATCTTTCTAAACTGTAGGCCAGTTTTCGGTTCCTAAGCTGAATTCTCAGTGAACTTTGTCCTTACCTGGAGAGGAGTATAGATGCTAAGTAGATAACAAAGCAAAAAGTAAATGTAGATGCACACATAGATATCACAAAACCAGCAGATATCATTTTGGTTACCGTGTATTATCACTTGGGTTCATAGTGTGTCCCTAACTCTTAAATGATACACCTAGGAAGATAGAGCCCCCAAGCCCTATGTTTCCTTTTCCTTATCTCTAATCTTTGTGTTGAAGGTTACCTACTTAAGTGGAAGTAAATGCTTCAGTTGTAACTCTGCTTCAGAGAGAGATAAGTGGATGGAAAACCTCCGCAGGACAGTTCAACCAAATAAGGTAAGAGTGGCTTTGAATGGCCAAAAAAATGTGTGACTCTGTAAGCAGTAAGTTGATTGAAGTAATACAGTAATATTAATAATACCTTAAATTTTACAGAACTTTTAAACACAAACACATGTTTTATTATTTTGTGCTCAAAATAATCTTACTGCAGACAGTATCATGATTTTCTCAGTGTGGATAAGAGGACTCAGAGAAGTTACCTGACTAAGTGAGAACCTAGTATAATACACAATAGAAATGGGACTAGAACACAAATTTCTTAATTACTTACATACCTCTATCTTATTCGTAGAACGCTGATCCAGTTGCCATAAGACTGGCTATATGAGAATTTCTATTACAGGATGTTATTTCTTTAACCTAAATGAAATAGAATGCATGTGGCTCTCAGAGAGCTTGCTGTTATCCTGAGTGATGAGGTAGCAATCCCCTTCATTATTTTTGACTGCCCTTAATGAAGTACATAGTATCACCTACTTTAAGAGGAAAAGGTTGTCTTTCCGGGATTCCGGCTCTCAAACACAACTTTGTTACTTCTTTATAGGACAATTGTAGACGGGCCGAAAATGTTCTCCGTTTATGGATTATTGAAGCCAAGGACCTTGCCCCCAAGAAGAAATACTTCTGTGAGCTGTGCCTTGATGATACCCTCTTTGCTCGTACAACCAGCAAGACCAAAGCAGACAATATTTTCTGGGGTGAACACTTTGAGTTCTACAGCCTTCCACCTCTTCATAGCATCACAGTCCACATTTATAAAGATGTGGAAAAAAAGAAGAAAAAAGACAAGAATAATTATGTAGGGCTAGTCAACATCCCCACTGCCAGTGTGACTGGTCGCCAGTTTGTAGAAAAGTGGTACCCAGTGAGTACACCTACACCCAACAAAGGAAAGACAGGAGGACCTTCTATTCGGATTAAATCACGTTTCCAAACCATCACCATTCTGCCTATGGAGCAATACAAAGAGTTTGCAGAATTTGTCACCAGCAACTACACCATGTTATGTTCTGTTCTTGAACCAGTAATCAGTGTGAGAAATAAAGAAGAACTAGCCTGTGCCTTGGTGCACATTCTTCAAAGCACTGGAAGAGCCAAGGTAAGTAGAAAGGGGCATTGCATTGCCCAGAAAAGAAACCTGTTATTGGTTCTTAGATTCAGAAAAAGTGGAGATTATAAAATTAAAGAAGTAAAATGAAGAGTCAAACAAGTAGTTATTTGAAGTTTATTTGCACGAAATATAGATACCACTGGTAGGTCTTTATCGCCGAACAAAATAAATGGTAGGACTGGTGTAATAATCCCACAGTGTGTGCAAGATTATTTCTCTTTAGTTCCAAAGTGTGCTGTATGACTGTTTTATTCCACACTATATTCTAAATTAAGATTGACTGATGACTATATATATTACCTAGTCACAGAAGGAAGTATTCCTGAATCAGGTTGGTCACTAGCAAAGAGTCTTCAAGAGATAAATGTCTGAATGGAATTAAAATACCAAGGGATGTTATTGTTAGCTGCCTCATGATAGCCTTACCTCAGTTCATCCTGGATAGAATTAAAAATCTAGGAAGATAGAAAGAGAAATACACTAATCGTATGAAGAACACTAAACAATTGATAGAGTCGTTGATCAGCCTGAACTGTGGTAATTATCACCTCTGAGAGGCATGTTCACTTAACTAGGCTAAAGTCTGCATTATATTATATGCAAATTGATCATGGTAAAACTGTATTTTAGATCTAGAGGAGTTCACAGCTAGAATAATTTATTTAGAACCAAACAATAAAGTGTTTTTAAGATTTCTTGATACATATCAGAATATATCAATATATTCAATATTTAGTTCCTTATTTAATTGTCTTCCTATTGATTGACATTTTGATGGTTGAATTTATTAATGATAATTTTGAGCTTTCTGGTGTTAAAAAAAATCATTGAAATTTTGAGTCTCATCTTTGAAATTGTATGGATATGTTCTTTTTGTTGTTCATTTGCTTGAGGTTCAAGGATATATGTAGGATTTTTTTAACAGCTTTATTGAGGTACAATTTATATATTATCAACCAAATCCATTTAAAGGGAAAGATTCAACGAGTTTAGACAGTTTATGTACCCGTGGAAACCACAGGAATCAAGATACAGAATGTTACCATCACCCCCAGGTTTCTTCCTGTCCCTTAGCATAAGAGTTTTAGTAGTGATTCCTAAGTCTATGACTCTTTTACACTGATGAAAAAAATCCCAGAATGAACCCCATTAATATTAAAATGCTTAATTTAAAAATAAAATTAAATAATATTCCCTCTGTTTTTTATTTTAGAGACTTTGAAATATCCAATGAATATATAATATTCAAAATATATGATGTTATCAGATTTCAAATTGAATAATGAACACTGAATTTTAAATTAAGTTCCTTAAGACTGTTGAGAAATGAAGCAGCTATTTCTTAAGGGCTTCATTTCTGCTTATGCCTTCCTTCACTATGGATGAGTAGATGGATGGATGAATGGATGGCTAGAGATACATAATTCATGTAGAAAATGAGTTTAGATGTTTAAGAAATTTCATGTTGATACTGTGGACCAATTTGTAACTATTTTATATTGAACACCAAATATGTGTCAGAAACTGTTAAATGCTAGAATATAGAGGTGAACAAAACTAGACACTGTCTTTGGTCTCATAGGGCTCACAGTCTCTGGGGAAAACAGATATTAGTAAAATAATTACAGAAATGTGTGATTACAGTGAGAAGTGCAGATTTATAAAAAGATACATGATGCCACAAGAATGTGGATTAAGGGGTCCTGACTAATGGAGTTCAGAGGCAGTGTTGGTCAGACTGAGGAGACAAGGTGCAAACTAAAATCCAAGGATCCAAGGAATTAACTCCATAGAAATGGAGGCGGAGCAAGGGTGGGAGTGAAGCACAACTGAGAACAGCATTTGCAAAAAACTCTGTGGTGAATAGACAGTGTTGTATGTTAGAAAAAGTTTGACATATTCAAGCTCCCCCCACCCCCAAAAAAAAGTCCTTGACTGGAGCACAATGCAAAGAGAATGGTACAAGATGAGGCTGGAAAGGTAGACAGAAAACCAATAAATATAGAGGCTTGCAGGCCACATGCAGGATTATAGGCTTTATCCTATGTGCAATGAAAAACCTTTGAAGGAATTTTTAACCAAAGGTTGGTAAGTTGGTAGCACTTCAAATTTTATCCTGACTGACCTTTTCCCTTCAAATGAATCTGGTAGATTTAGTTTTAAAGCAGCATTCCCAGGATGTCTGACATTTTATCAGTCTCTCCTAACGTGTAGTATTTATTCACATTCAGTTGCTTTCTGCCTGATTGAACATTATTCTACCAGGATTTTCTGACGGACTTGGTGATGTCTGAGGTGGATCGTTGTGGAGAACATGATGTTTTGATCTTCAGAGAGAACACCATTGCCACCAAATCCATTGAGGAATACCTCAAGTTGGTGGGACAACAGTATCTTCACGATGCACTGGGTATGGAGAAGAAAAACATCTCTATTCTTTCCCTTTTGATTTTTAGGTTATTTTACCCTCATGAAGCAACCAACTGGAACTCAAATTCTGAATGCTATTTAGTCCAACTGATTAAAGTGTTAAAATTGGAGTTTCAATTATAGGAAGTGTCTGCAATACTCACCAGGGGAGGAATAGATCTGTTTCTTATACCATGTACCACAAGAAAGCTCATGAGCATAGGCAGCTACCCCCATGCCCTCAAGTTCCTGAGATTCTTGAGACATACAGTGATGTTAGTAATGAGATGTTACATCTAGTTGATCTCTTTCCTCTGAAGTCTTGGGTATTTACATCATGATATATTGGGTTGGCCAAAAGGTTCATTTGGGTTTTTCCATACCATCTTATGGAAAAACTACAACAGACTTTTTGGCCAACCCAATAAATACATTACCTAAGTTTTTAAAGTGTTAGCATTTGTTATCATGCATCAGAAATGGAGAACGTCCTGCCAGTTCCCGCAACTCCCAATTTCTGCCTTGAAGACCTACAGAATTTTTCATGACAACTAAGTTTTCTCCAGTCAGTAGTTCTTACTGACTGGGTCACCCACTTACAGCTCCATGTTTGGTCATAAACTTCAGGTGTTACACTAGAGTAAGGCACTGTGCTTGGCACTTCAATGTACATTATGATAAAGCAGGCGTGAGTTCCTTAAAGAACATTGTCATTTTCTTTATGTCCCCAGTACTTCACACAGAATGTTAGAACAGCATTGTCCTAAAGAAACTTAATGTGAGTCACATGTAATTTGTATTTTCTAGTAGTCGCAGTATAAAAAGGGGGCAAGAGAAACAGGTAAATTTAATTTCAATAACATTTTATTCAAACCAGTATATCCAAATATTAGTTAATATATCATCAATATAAGAATTATGAACAAAATACTTCACTTTTTTCATGCTTTTTGAAATTATGTGTATTTTATCTACATTTATTGCATGCTTAGTTTGCAGTAGCCACATTTCAAGTGCTCAATAGTCACACATGACTGTCAAGAGTAGACAGGTGTGTGTTGAAGGCAAGAAATAAGACTGAATGAGGTAATCACCAATGAGGTAATAGGACTTGGCAATTCTTCAGTTTGTGGGAATGGGGCAGGGTGTGGTAGGGGAGGAGGTCAAATATTACAGTCAATTTGGGGCCTTTGAGAGTGACAAGAAAGATGATGAGATTCTTAACAGAAAGAGAACATAAAAGTAACATGCTTGAAAGAATGAGAAATTATATTTTCACTTCACATGTATTTAAGTTGAAGTTCAAGCGGGAAGTCCCAGAGGTTCTAGGTAGGACATCCCAAGACTTCTGTCTAGCTGGCTGGTGGAAGTTTAGGACTAAGTTACCCATGTGGAGGGAATCAATGAAACTACCAGATTACAGGAGAAGGAAGAGAATAGGGCCAAAGACAGATCTTACAGTGTTCCTGGCTTATGGTACAAAGGAAGCAGAGGAATGAGAGAAGAGATCGGAGAGAGAGGAAATGTGCATGCACGTGCAAAAAAAAAAAAAGAAGAAGGAAAAGAGTCTTAGACACCAAGAGGGAAAAAGCATTAAGAGAGTCAGAGATTAAGGAAGGTAAAGATTCAAAGAAAAACATGACTGTTGATTTTGCTCATTAGTGATGCCTGGGATTGTTCTCAGGAGCCAGGTAACAGGAGGTAAAAAGTCAATGACTGCTCAAGAAACAGCAGGTATAACACTGTGTTGGACTGTGAGTGCTGGACTCACTGTAGTAGCAATTAATTCCTACTCTAGAGAAGTAAATTTTTTCTTCTCCTGTTTCCTATCTTCATTTTTTAATTTTTTAAGTCATATGCTTTAGTTTAAGATCTAACGGGATTTTAGAAGAATGGCGAAAATGGATTTTCATTGACACTAGGAAAGGTACAGAATCAGTCTCACATAAAAAGCTTATTATAGTCATATCATGAATTATATATCATAGTTTGCTTTAATGATTTGCACCACCTTATAAAAAGCAATAATGATGCATCTCAAACAGTATTCTCTATTCTTGGGAGATAAAGAGGTAGATATTTGTCAACCATCTACTGCTTAAAAATCAAATATTCATATTCCCCCATTCAATGGACTAACCAGGATTTCCAAATGAAATAATTCCTGAAGTGAAAAGGAGAGACAGGTCCTTTGATAGAACAGTTAGTAATTAAATAGCTGATTGACTCATTGAGATATGAAAATTAATTCAGTGAGCAGGCAAAGAAATTCACGTAACCCCACAAAGATCTCTATTATTATATTTGTAACCCAAGAGCAAGGGCCAGGGTGGTGAAAATGACTGCTGTTTCCAAGACACAAACAAAATTAATTAGTAAGCTTCTTCAGGGCAGAGATGCTACTGTCTTCTCACCATATTTCTAGTTAGCCTTTAAATCCTAGATTCTTGGTAGCTGATTTTTCTCCTATATTTTATTTTTTTATGACAAATTCTGTTTTGAGAACAGTTTACAGTCTTAGCACCAGTGTAAATTAAGACTTATTTTATATGGTTCAAAATAAAATAAGTGATTTTCCAAAAGTAACCCTGAAGAAGTGCAAAAATTTTAGTTCCCTTAGAAAGATTGTTTATTTCATCATAGGATACTGTACTTGGGTCAGCAGGCACCTCTAATTACACAATTAAATAAGGCTTCATGGTAAGTTTTAAATAAAAAGACTTCACAGTGAAGTCTTAGTAAAACCAAAAAATCACATTAATAAGTACAGCTGAGCACTCTGAATAATTCAAATTTTACTGTATTTCATACACTTTGGGCAAAAAAAAAATAGATGTTATTTGCAGACTGCCTGAAGAATGCTTAGAGAAAACTGAGTTAAAAGTTGCCAATCAAATTAAAGAATATCTGCCTGCTTTTTAGCCAGTCTTCATTTATCTTGATTAAAAGCATTAAGGTTGATAGCATAGACTCTGCCTCAGTTAGACTTAAATCTTTCATCCATTAACCCCTTTTACTTTTCTAATTGAAATCAGATTTCATGTTGCTGTCCTGTGACACACAGGAAACACCATCTTCTGTGGTGTTATACAGAAAAGGCTCTAAAATGGCCTGATTTTCACCATTGATGGTGGAGGCAAATTTCCTTTTAACAATAATATGTCCATGCCTATTGGCTTATTTCTACACATGAAATTTGGGTGCTAGGTAGTAATGAGATAATGAAACGTTATAGAACATTGTAGACAAACTCAAATTTAAACATTTAAACACCCTTCTTGTTTGTCCCTAATTTCCCCCCCCCACCACTGCCCCCCCCCCCCACAAGGCCAGAGACATGAAAGGATCAAATCTGTCTCAATAATTTGTCATCAGCTAAACAGTCTCTAGGTGCAGATCCATAAAAGTTCACTTTTCAATGTGGTGCTTTCCACACTATCAGACACATAGGTTATAGTTTCAAAAATGAAAAGAGTTTTCTCAATTTCAGAAGATTTTAAATAAAATCAGGTAAAAAGAAAAAAACTTTAGACAATCAATTTACTTCCAGACCCTTGAGTTATTTATTTGGTTCTTTTTTTGAAGAAAAAAGAGAAAAATACTCTCAAGATTCACAAGTTAGTATTATTTCCCCAGCATAGGTACAACTCATTAAGCCAAATATTAATGATATAAATTTAGAGGTGGATTGATTTTTACATGAAGTATTTGACATTGATGACTTAGTTTTAAATTCAGGTACTCTTTAAATGAGGTGAAATGTGTGGGAGCACGTAGCATAGGTGACATTGAGAACGTGTTCAGAAGAAATCTTGTAAGCGTTGGTAAACAATTTAAAAGTCTTTTTACTTTGTTTTTTTTTTCACTGTAAAGTGTGTACATAACACTGACTGTATGGAGCCCCTACTAAGTACCCAGGCACCATATTAGACACTTTTCTTTTCATGCCCTGTTCCTCACCATAGCTCTAGTGGGTTGGAGTTCTTTTTTTTTTTTTTCTTTTTCAACCTTCTTTTTTTTAATTAATTAATTTATTTTTTGTTTGTTTATATTAGTTGGAGGCTAATTACTTTACAATATTGTAGTGGTTTTTGCCATACATTGACATGAATCAGCCATGGATTTACATGTGTTCCCCATTCTGAACCCCCCTCCCACCTCCCTCCCCATCCCATCCCTCTGGGTCTTCCCAGTGCACCAGCCCTGAGCACTTGTCTCATGTATCCAACCTGGGCTGGCGATCTGTTTCACACTTGATAATATACATGTTTCAATGCTATTCTCTCAGATCATCCCACCCTCGCCTTCTCCCAGAGTCCAAAAGTCTGTTCTATACATCTGTGTCTCTTTTTCTGTCTTGCATATCGGGTTATCGTTACCATCTTTCTAAATTCCATATATATGCATTAGTATACTGTATTTGTGTTTATCTTTCTGGCTTACTTCACTCTGTATAATGGGCTCCAGTTTCATCCACCTCATTAGAACTGATTCAAATGTATTCATTTTAATGGCTGAGTAATATTCCATAGTGTATATGTACCACAGCTTTCTTATCCATTCGTCTGCTGATGGGCATCTAGGTTGCTTCCATGTCCTGGCTATTATAAACAGTGCTGCGATGAACATTGGGGTGCACGTGTCTCTTTCAGATCTGGTTTCCTCGGTGTGTGTGCCCAGGAGTGGGATTGCTGAGTTGGAGTTCTTAACGCTATTTTCCAAATAAGGCACCCAAAACTCAGACGAGTTAAGTGATTTTTCAGGCCCCCACAGTTGGTTAAGTGATGGGTCCAGGATTTGACCCTAGATCTGTCTGGTTCCACAGCCTTTAATTTTTCTCTGTATCACTTTCTTTTCTGTGCATCACTTAAATTCCTATCCTCCAAGCATTTTACTTCCAAATAATCACTTCCCATCCTCTATCACAGCTATTTTTTTTAATCTTTCATTTAGCTTAGTACTAGCCATTTTGATAGAAAATGCTCTTTGTTATTGCTTCTGCTTCTTAATTTTTTTGTAGAAATTACTGTTCACTTCTATGATATCTATTAGTAACTAGCCTGAACTTCAGTTACTATAAGCAGATTTGGAAGGAGCTTTGAAAGACCTACTCCTCTTTCATAAAGATGTATTAAAAAAAAAGAAAACTATACTATCATCTCTGACAACTAATTTTTGAGCTCCTGCAATGCTTTAGGGGAGAAGGCAATGGCGACCCACTCCAGTACTCTTGCCTGGAAAATCCCATGGACAGAGAAGCCTGGTAGGCTGCCGTCTATGGGGTCACACAGAGTCGGACACAACTAAAGCGACTTAGCAGCAGCAGCAGCAATGCTTTGGAACTATTTGATAGGCTTGGGATTTGAACTTGAATAGAACCCAGTCCCTGATCTTCAGTCGTATTCGTCCTGAAGGATATGAGTGAACAAGTAAGCACAAAATAGCGTGAAGCATAGAACAGAACAGATACAAGGTATGGTTCATAGAGGAGGATAAACAGATTAGGTAAAGATTTGCTGTTTCAGGAAATACTGGGCATATCTCTACAAAGGATGAGATGTATGAACAGGGCACCTAAACTAAATTTATTTGGAAAAACATCCAAGTTATATAAAGAGATACTGTTCTATGTGCTATGTTGAATTACTATCCCCATTAGGAGAGGTGGGCCTAGAAACCCTTACTTGAATCTGAGTTTGGCATTCAGTTTGGCACCAGTATTAGCCCTTAAAAGCATAGGTGGGCTATTTATTCAGACCTGGGGTATTTATTCTTCTAAAATAGTAACAACATTATTCATAAGGTAGAGAGGCCTTTAATGAGTTCCTGCTAATTAAATATATTCATGGTTTCAGATAAAAGATGTAAAGCTGTAGTATTTTTTAAAGTAGTTTCATTATTCTTTTTATAAATATCATGATGACAGTGTTAATGAATGCTGTTTTTCCACTTCCAGGATAAAGAAAATAAACATGAACATGTTGGAGGTGGTAAATCTTAGATTCCAAAGCAATAACCCTTCATGAACAGTCTTTCGTGCCCTCTGTGTCAGGCATCAGAAAGAGTTCCCTATTACACATTTTAGTACAGAAATCCTAAATTCTTTTGTTATATTCAGGAAGACACTATTTATAGTTATCCGATCCATCATCTTCTTTTCTTCAAATAGGGGAGTTCATCAAAGCTTTGTATGAGTCAGATGAAAACTGTGAAGTGGATCCCAGCAAATGTTCATCCAGTGAACTTCTGGACCATCAGAGCAACCTGAAAATGTGCTGTGAGCTGGCTTTCTGCAAGATCATCAACTCTTACTGGTGAGCTGCTGTCAGTGCTTCATTCCCTGCCTATGAAGCTGGACTTTTTTCCTTATGAAAGTTATCAGTGTTAACTGTGGTTTCCCAACCAAAGGAAGAGAAGTTGAAAGTTTCCCTAATACAGTTTTGCCTAAAATCTAAACCTATATTGTAAGAAGTCCCCCTGAACTATCCACATAAATGTAATCCAGAATATTAACACCACATCCTCTAATACCAAAAGTACTTTAATGACTTTTAAACATATTTAATAGTGTCAAAACAGATGCGTTAATGATTTCTGATCACTATTCTCACCAGCAGTCGGTGGGATTTTAGATTTGTGATGAGCAGTCTGTAGAGAGATTATGCTGAGCTGGAGTAAACCAAACAGATTAGTCAGGAGCTGCGTGCCATCTTCCCACTTTGCAAAACCTAAGTTCCTGAGATTTACAGCATCAGGTTTCTGGTCTCCATCTGGATGTCTATGATTTGTCCACCACTTCTCAGCCATGAATCAGACGGAGTTCTATTATTCCCTCCTCAGAGCCTGACTCTGTGGGGCCACAGTGGCATCCACCCAGGCTTTTTTGGGTTCTAGTACTTTTACATTTGGTCTTTCTTTCTTCCCCAGTGTTTTTCCTCGTGAGCTGAAAGAAGTGTTTGCATCCTGGAAGCAGCAGTGCCTGAACCGTGGCAAGCAGGACATCAGCGAGCGGCTCATCAGCGCCTCGTTGTTTCTCCGCTTTCTGTGCCCGGCCATCATGTCTCCCAGTCTCTTCAGCCTCATGCAGGAGTATCCTGATGACCGCACATCTCGGACTCTGACTCTCATTGCCAAGGTCATCCAGAACCTGGCCAACTTTGCCAAGTAGGTGGAGCTATCGTAACCACTTTCTAAAAACATCATTTAAAAGTACATTTGGCCTAAACTTTAGATGAGCATGGGGCCCTGCATCACTCATGTTACATGATTTTCATCGTGATGTTATTAAAAACAGCAAAAAGATTGACATCACTTTGAATAGTCACTTTGTAGAGAGATGGATTACTAATTCATGCATCCAATGGAATATATGCAGCTACTACAAAATGTGTTTATGAATAGTATGGAAAATGATAAAGATATAATATGGTAAATGAAAAGTGCTATTTAAAAGAAGAGATAGGACAAAAAAGAGATAGCCAAAAAAAGAGATAGGACACCAAACGGTGTATATGCTTTTATCCTCCAATATAATATTGCAAAAACCTAAATATAAAAAAGTTGGGAAGGAATTGGCCTGACCCCTTCAAAAAAGTCAGTATCATGAGAAATGGAAAAGATGAAGTGGGGACTATTCTGGATAAAAGAGAGAATGCATTGTTTGGATCTGAATTGGAAAAAAATTTATTAAAATCATTTTGGGAACAACTGGTGAGATAGGAACTCTATATGAGATGATTTATAAATAATGTTTTCTTATAGTTTCAGTGTGATTAATAGCATTGGTACGTGTAAGAGTTATTCATTATTCTAGAGAAGTAGGTACTAATGTACTTAGGGGTTATGTCTGCAACTTAGTTTAAAATGGTTCAATCAGAAAAAGAAAGAGAGAAGATGAAAACAGACTTGGCAAAATGTGAACAGTTGGTTAATGTAGGTAAATGGCATATGGGTGTACACTGTATATTCTTTGAAATTTTCTGTAGCTTTAAACTTTTTCAAAAAGAAGTTAGGAGAAAGCAGCTGGAGAAGAAATGCACTGAACTGTAAACAGCAGATATGTTTAGGTGGTAGAATTGGTACAGCCATCCTTTTTTCTTTCCACTTTTCAGTGTTTTCAAATTTTTCTTAAGTTTGTGTAATTTTTATAGTTTATAGGAAATAATTTTAAGAAATCACTGAGAAGCAATTCACACTGGCAGAATTGATCCCAGATTTTCTCAATATTGAAGCTTAAGTATATTTCTAGTAGCAATGTATTGAAGGAAAAATTAGAACTTCAGTGAGACACATTGTTTTCTAGCATGTGGCTCTTTGAAAGTGCACGAGTTTAATTTTGTGTGCACTACATATATGCCAACAGAGAAATCTGTGTTTACCCATATTTGATCTAATTCTTATAAAAATTGTTGCTAGTTTATTTTGGAACATGTTGTTCGGATTTAAGCTAGGCCCAGAAGATAGCTAGAACCTAGGCAAACAAAGAAGAGAGGAAATTATCTAGTGGAAATAAGTAGCATAAGCAAAGGTTTGAAGAAGAAAAGAAGTATAATATATTTGGGACACTTTGAAGAAGCTAGTATACTGAGGTTTATACTGATGATGAACGTTTATACTGGCTTTAAATACCAGGGATAAAGGACTTTGTCTTTACCCTATAGAGAACAGAAAGCTATTCAAAGTTTTTGAGTATTAATATAATATTAATAAAGTATGTTTTAACACGTATCACTTACAGATAATAAAACAAGTTAGTCATCTCCCCCCCCCAAAAAAAAAGTATAGCTCTGTGTAAAATCAATTCAAAATGATCACATCTCTTTCCCTGAATATGTTCTTTCTCATTTTCTCTCCCTCTACTTCAGATTTGGTAACAAAGAGGAATACATGGCATTCATGAATGATTTTTTAGAGCATGAATGGGGCGGAATGAAGCGCTTTCTTTTGGAGATCTCTAATCCAGACACCATCTCAAACACACCAGGCTTTGATGGTTACATTGATTTGGGCCGAGAGCTTTCAGTTTTGCATTCCTTACTGTGGGAAGTAGTTTCCCAACTTGATAAGGTAAAGTAGGCTGGGAAAGCAATGGGAGATGGGAGGTAGAGAACCCTAAGCCACATGAATTCTGGAGAGTGTCTATGGAGTGATCATGTTTGTGCTGTCTGCTAGTTGAAAGCAACCTTTTGACATGGAAGTCTGGGAGGAAATTGTTATTATTTCTGAGTAAAATATGTGCCCTAACCAACCAGGAAGTTCTAGAAAGCCACAAAATTATTAACATTTATTTTAAAATAGTTACCTTGATTAATGGGGTATATATTTCTATAAATATGTGTGTGTATTTGCCTAGAAACTAATATTGGATATTGATGTGTGATCCGTTATTCATGGAGTGTAGAATGAGATGAAACCTCATATAGCAATTTCTAACAAAAGTGTGGACTTAGAAAAGTACTGAAACTATCATGTTTAAGTAACTTACCATGAGATTTATTTTATCATGCAAGTCAGAGGGTTTAATATAACTATGGGTGTCTATAGAGTTATATGGGATCTGAAAATCCTTATTTTTTTCCTCTGTAGATGTGAATTAATATAGAAAATGATCATTTTAATCGTTTATTTCCTGACTATAAGCTAAGAATTATATATCATATTAACAACTAAATGTATACCTGTCAATCATTTTCTTCCTTCTGGAATTTTGCACAGAGGAATAGAATTTATTATGGAAAACAGTCTAACATATTTTGACTAGGTTTATCACAATAATTGTTTATTGATGTTCTTGTTTGCCACAGGTGCCTTATAAGTATCTGTGGTGGTATGTTAGAATAACTTCAGAAAACAAAATTATTTTAATTATTTTTCTGTAATAAGAATTTGTTTTCCTCCATTTCCTATTATCTTTAAAAATGACACATCAATAAAATAGGGAAGAAGGGAGTAAAACCTACTAAAAAAGACCACTTTCCTAAGGAAATATAAATGGTAGAGTGTCCACTGGTACTAACACATTTGTAAAATAATAAACTGTTTCTTATTCTCATGGACCCATTAGATTTTAAGTTGCGGCTGTGCTAAGGGTAAATTCCTTGAATATGAATCTTGGCTCAAGAGAGTCAAGGAGTAAAGACATTCTTCAGATGGCCTTTGTCCTCAACCAGGAATCCACCGAGTATGGAGGAATCAGGGAAAACCCAGAGACAGCCACATAAAACTACCTAATGCTTAAGGTTCCCATAAGGCCCCATGAGAATAATTCCCCAAAGGAAAAAATGATTGAGATGGATAAAGCAAGTTGTAAAAGGTTATTCTTCACTGAATAACACCATCAGTGGGCTGCAGATACAGATACAGTTATAATATCTTGTGAAATCAACCTGCTTTATTCAGGGGCAGAGTCTTTTTAACAGCCTTTGCTGTGTAAACACACTTTCTCCTTTTTAATTAACCTGTTTGGTCCTGGGAACCAGCAGGTACCTCTAGAGGTATCTCATAGAGTTTACCTGATTTTGCTGTTTAAACAAAAACATTGTCTTGCTGATGCAAATTCAGTAGGCCATAGGTCAGCGTTCCCAAGGTTAAATGACTAGCGGATGACAGTTATCAACTCTGTGGCCTGCAGTGCCCTGGACCCCTGAATGCATCACCTTCTTGTATGCTGGCATGCATTTCTTTCCTCACATGATCCCTTGTCTTTGGAAGTTTCATCACACTAGCCAGTCCTATAGTCCTAAAGTCCTTTTTGGTTAGAAGGTGTTTGGTTCTTCCCCTCCCTTCCCCTGCCTTGATCTACCAGCCTCCCAAAGATTTAGTTTGCTTTGCATGCCTATTTTAGTTGGAATGGCAATAGTTTGGTTGTTTTGAGCATGTCTTTTAATTTTTATTTGCATAATCCTAATTTCTATTTCCTTTCTTTCCTCAATGTCTGCTGCATCTTGTTCCGCCTCCTCCATTCATCTCGACGCCATGGTTCTGCTGCTCCATAACAATGCATTATGAACCTGCCACTCCCATACGCAAACACCTACCCTTCCCTCCAACCTCCACCCCTCCATCAATGGCATCGTTGTCCCAAAAACAATCTGTGGTGGATATCGCAATGCTTATTATCCAATTAGGGTGAAAATTCCTTCCTACAGGCGACCGTGGCAAAATTGGGACCTCTCCCTCGTGTTCTTGCTGATATTACCAAATCTCTGACTAATCCTACACCAATACAACAGCAACTGAGACGCTTCACTGAGCATAACTCCAGTCCAAATGTCAGTGGAAGCCTCTCCTCTGGGCTGCAGAAAATATTTGAAGACCCTACTGACAGGTATGAATTTAGGAAAGAACTGGAACTGCTTACCTCAGAGGGAGATGATGTTTAGAGATTTGTGGGGAAATCTATCGAACTTCCTTGTTGAATTTACAGTTTTAAAGTCATGAACAATTGGAAAGAATCTTCTGAGATAAATCCAATTGTTTGTCATAATAATATGCATAATCTAGGATACTTTTTTCCTAAAATGATACTTTTTACAGTTGTATTAAAAAAACTTATTTAAATAAAAAAGCCTGGGCTTCCCTGGTGGCTCAGACAGTAAAGAATCTGCCTGCAACGCAGGAGCCCCAGGTTCAATCCCTGGGTCAGGAAGATCCCCTGGAGAAGAGAATGACTACCCACTCCAGTATTCTTGCCTGGAGAATCCCATGGACAGAGGAACCTGGCAGGCAATACAATCCATGGGGTCTTAAAGAGTCAGACAGGACTGAGTGACTTAAAAAAAACATATGTCCTGCCTAATAGAAGATAAGGGCTCTATGCAATTGGTATTTTCAGGTATTGTAGCACTCAGAGATCTGAGAACCTCAGTTGAAATCAATTTAGATCTGGCTGTCTCAGCTGGACAGGTGGATACAATGTTGACACTTAGACTTTGTTTTCTATATTGGCAAGACCTGTCCCTATAATAGGGATCCTTTGGTTGTACACTCAGGGCTTCTGGAAGGGTTAGACAACTAATTAACTATGAATTGGAATACCCTGGGTAGTTTAAAACCTAACTAGGAAATGATTGGAATTCTAGTAAAAATCTAAGACGGTGATGGAGGCGCTCTACACAGTGTTATCGCCCACCTTTGGAGAAAAACTGAAAATGTTGGATCTTATTCTGAGTATTGTCATGATGAAATCTGGGCCTAGAAACCAGTAAGTGAGGCTCCCAGGGCCTGTGAGCTTTCTGAAGAGTTTATATGCCAGAGTTGAGGAAATCTTAACTGTTAAATTTGCCTCAGGAGTGATGAAGGGTCCTTTCTTTTTTCACAGTGATTTGCACAAACTAAAATCCCCAAGCCAGGACAACACAGACAGTTACTTCAGAGGAAAGACGTTATTGCTGGTCCAGCAAGCCTCCTCCCAGAGCATGACTTACTCGGAAAAGGATGAAAAGGAAAGTAGCCTCCCCAATGGCCGCAGCATCTCCCTCATGGACCTTCAGGAGACGCACGCCGCCCAAGCGGAGCACGCGTCTGTGATGCTCGACATGCCCATGCGCTTGACCGGAAGCCAGCTCTCCATAACTCAGGTGGCCAGCATCAAGCAACTGCGGGAGACTCAGAGCACCCCGCAGAGTGCACCCCAAGTGCGAAGGCCCCTGCACCCAGCCTTGAACCAGCCAGGCAGCCTCCAGCCCCTGTCCTTCCAGAACCCTGTCTATCACCTCAGTAACCCCATTCCTGCAATGCCAAAGGCCTCTGTGGACTCCAGTTTGGAGAACCTAAGCACTGCCAGTTCCAGGAGCCAAAGTAACAGTGAAGACTTCAAACTCAGCGGACCCAGCAACAGCAGCATGGAGGACTTCACCAAACGGAGCACGCAGAGTGAGGACTTCTCCAGGCGCCACACCATGCCCGACAGACACATACCTCTCGCCCTGCCACGGCAGAACAGCACGGGGCAGACCCAGCTCCGGAAGATGGACCCGGCGGGGCTGGGCGCCCGAGCCAAAGCCCCGCCGTCCCTGCCGCACAGCGCCTCCCTGCGGAGCACCGGGAGCATGTCGGTGGCATCGGCGGCTCTGGTGGCCGAGCCCCTGCAGAACGGGAGCCGGTCCCGACAGCAGTCCTCTTCCTCCAGAGAGAGCCCGGTGCCCAAAGTGAGAGCCATCCAGAGGCAGCAGACCCAGCAGGTAGGGGCGAGCGCCAGAGCGGGACTGCCCCCGCTTGGTCCTGCTGTGTCCTCGGGCCTCTGTCCATACCTCACTGGGAAATGCAGTCACTAACGGGGTTTCCGCTCAAAACGATCTTCTGCAACCTTTTAATGGAAAGAGGAAATGAAAAGTTGGGGAGGTTTCTGGCTAGGTGCGGCAGCGGAATGTAGTCTGACTCAACACCCAGGCGCGGGGTCGCCCTTCCATCTCTTCAAGCTGCTGAGCTACCTGTCAGCACCCAGCACGAATCTGTGATGCTGAGTGAATGGTCAGAAATTTAAGATACGAAATCTTCAGGCCAGATCAACTAGGATGTATTTTGGGAATCTGCACATTGATCCTCCTTATTTTTTTCCCTTAAGTTTCAAAACTAAAGTTTGGCATTCTGAGCCAAGAGTTTGATATACCTACTCTCTACTCCACACCCCAGTTCCCTCTGAAAATAGCAAGCCCCGTGTGCCTTTTCCTGAAATTACTAGAAAAATTAACTTAACACCTGTAGTGGCAAGGTAAAGGAGAGAGATTAAAAGATAGAAACACAGCTGGTTGACAAGTATTCACTAAATGGTTACGCAAATCTGTTCTTTTTCTGTTTACATGGACAAGCCCAGCTAGTATCACACCTAAATTTAATATTAGATTATCAAACTTTTTTCTTCACAAATAAGAAAGGTTTCTTAAGAATTTAATCATTTTTTCCTTATGTATTACATTTTGAGGCACCTAGACATATTTTGCTCTCGAAATAAACTCAAGAGTGCATATGTACATGTCTTACTTTCATCTAAAAAAGAACCTTCCCCTAAAAAGCTTCGTTGAATTTTTTTTGAAAACTAATCATGCTTTATTTGTATTAGGGAGCTGAGAAATACTTTTTCTTCGGTCTTAAATTTTTCATATTTTTTTTTTTGTTATATTTCCCAAAATTTCAAAGTCTTTGTGATTAAACAAGTTCTGTGACAAATCCTTTGATCAGCAGAATCACTGGCCAGAGAAAACTGCAATGAAACAATGTATCTCTTTAATATATTTGCATTTTTATAGATAGGCATTTACTGATTTGGCTCTTTCTGCCTCCTCTCTGCTGTAATCGGAGCCCTTGCCACTACTTTGATAACTATTGTGTGTGTTTTTTTTTTTAATTAGAATGTTCACAGAATCTTTGGATATAGAAGTAGAAGAAGGGATGAAAAACTTAGGCAGATTCTGGTAGCCAAGTTCCTGGGCAAAACCTCCTAGTTGGTCAGTTCTTTTCTGAGAAATACTTTTTCTTCAGTCTTAAATTTTTCATTTTTTTTTTTGTTATATTTCCCAAAATGCCATCAATTCATTTGATTAAATGTGCATTTTCATTTAAAGAAAAGGAAAAAAGATTATACTGTATAAATTTACATAAAGATTATATTATATAATTTTCTCCTTTTCCTTAAATGAAAATGCTTTTCTCTATATTTTTTGTGTGTACGTATATATTATATATACATTTAATTTGTGTTAGGAAGCTATCAGTCTTTCACATCTTACTGTGAATAAGTTTGCACACTTGCTTTTATGCTAGCTTCTAGTTGAGATCAGCCCCTTTCAGAGAACTGAAGTGTTTATTGAGAGAAGAGAAAAGTAATTTTAGAGATGGAGTACTGTGTAAAGGCAAGTGTCTACGTGGGGCATTAAGTGCAACATGAAGGCCCTAAGCATGAGATCAGGAGTAGAGAAGACTATCAGATTGACAGAGAGGGACAAGACAGGGCAGATGGTCCTCTGCCTACTTTTCAAAGTTGGACTTAGTTCAAACCCTAGACAGAAAAGAAGAATACTTACTTACCCTTCCCTGCTTTATCATATTGTCTTCGATTCCCAGGATCCATGATTCAGACTGACTATTTATTGTAAATTAAATAGCCTTTTGTGTGAACACCTGAAACTGACTGTCATTTATATCTCCGCTATATGGAAATTTAACACTTATCATGTAAGCACTACATGATTCTATGTGGGAATAGAAAACTGTCCAGATGGATGGAAGGTAGGAAATGCAAATGGTCTTCAGACACCAATTAAAATGCTTTCTAGCCATAGCCATTAATGAGCTTGGGAACGTCTCTGTTACATTGGCGTGAAGTGGGGCATAGCCACAGCAAGATGCCCCAGCACAACCTTAAATATTCATCTCTGGTTGTGCCTTTGCTGGTACTGCCACTGTCATATCAGTTAAACTGGAAATCGCTGTAGTTTGATTGCTCGGATTTGTTTTTTTCCTAACACTGACTTTTTCTATGCAGACAGTTTATTCTTTCAAGCTTATGTTGTTTTTTGGTTCCATTTCTTTCTTGCTTGCTTTTTTCATCTCATTCCCATGAAGCCTCTGATGTTCTATCTAATCAGCACATTTTTTACATAAATTCCTTTACATATTTAAATTGCAGATTATTATGGTGGAGAATTCTTTTCTCCCCCAATACTGGAGGATTTCTTTGTGGGGATTGTTCTACAGGCATTTATCCTTATTGGAGGCTTTGTTCCATGCAAATTCCATTTGTATCTTGGCACAAAGGAGCGGCCATTGTTGACAGTGTAACTAGCTTCAGTCCTTCTCCATCCACTGAGTAGGAAGTTGAACAATCTACAGAGAAGGAGTATTTTAGGAAGCCATCTTTTAATTTTTTGATCCTTTTCGGCTTTTTAATAATTTTCCTCTTCATCTTTTTTGATCTGTCACATACTCTGTGTGCATAATAGACTTTATTTACAATATATGAGTTGTACAGATATAGTATGTTACCTAACCTTAGAAATTCAAATTTGAAGATGCTTTTTATCTAGGTATTTGCTGAGTCTATTAGAATGATGCTACAGTTTTCACTTTGGGATTTGTTGAACCCTCTCCTAACCAACTTCTTCTAGGATTCTCAGAGTTTACTGATTTAGTCAGCCCTTTCTTTGGTGTTGATAGCAGAAGTGGTCTTCATTTTTGGGAACCTGATTATTTCAGATTAGGGAGAAGTTGAAAGTAACACGTCTTATTTATGTCTAGTAACTAAACAGGGAACTGGCCTATTCTCAGTCAGCCTCAAGCATAGCCAGGCTAACTAAGATCAATGGAAACTGCTTTCTCAGGCCCTTTTTGCCCTAAAGCAAAATTATTTTCCCCAGAGACACCCTATATAAGCTCTATCTCAGAAGGATGATATTCCTGTTAGGAATTCCTGCTCCTTTTCATTTTGTCTTTTTCATCATTCATGATCCACTGTTGAATGTCAGTGGAGAAAATATTCTTCTGAAGGCTATAACTAAGCAACTTATCAATCTCTCTTCTCAATTTGTTTGACTGTAAACTAGAGGAAATAAATTTTGTTATCTTATAAAGGAGATGGAACAATCTCTGAGGAAAAGCCCTTTGATGTACTTCCAAAGGATTGGAGGAAAAACGTAGGGTATCTTTCTCCTAGTGATAAATTGTACCCTGGTATGAATTCTAAAGAAAATCCAAAGTAATAGTAAGTGGATGATATTTTATTGAGCATCCATTGCAAAATGACATAGTTACTACCATTCAAAAACAAAAAAATGCTGTGATATATGGTCCCATGCTTCAAGGGTTGAGAGTCTAGGAAGTAAGACCAGCATTCATAAGACCAGTAGAATAAATATAAAAGACAGTATTTAGTTCTTTCAAATGAAGAATATATTATAATAAAAAATAATTTTTAAATAAAAATCACCTCCATTATCTTCCAGTATAGAGAACTATTTCTTATTTGTTCAGTATTATTTTTCTGTTTTTATAATCAGTTCAGTCAGTTCAGTCACTCAGTTGTGTACGACTCTTTGCAACCCCATGGACTGCAGCACACCAGGCTTCTCTATCCATCACCAACTCCCGGAGCTTGTTCAAACTCATGTCCATCAAGTCGGTGATGCCATCCAACCATCTCATCCTCTGTCATTCCCTTCTCCTGCCTTCAGTCTTTTCCAGCATCAGGGTGTTTTCCAGTGAGTCAGTTATTCACATCAGGTGGCCAAAGTATTGGAGCTTCAGCTTCAGCATCAGTTCTTCCAATGAATATTCAGGACTGATCTCCTTTAGAATTGACTGGTTTGATCTCCTTGCAGAGATTTAGTCAGCCCTTTCTAGGTTTTATCATAAATACAAGAAATAGTTATATTAGTCTGATTTATTTTTTCAAAACTTTCTGACCACCTACCATATGCCACGGGATATCCTAGGTGGTGCTAGTAAAGAATCCACCTGCCAATGCAGGAGACAAAAGAGATGCAGGTTTGATCCCTGGGAAGATCCCCTGGAGGAGGGCATGGCTACCCACTCCAGTATTCTTGCCTGGAGAATCCCATGGACAGAGGAGCCTGGTGGGCTACAGTTCATAGAGTCACAAAGAGTTGGACACGACTGAAGTGACTTAGCATGCATGCACCGTAGGCCATGCAAAGTGCTAGGAATATATATTAGGAATTGGTTGAAAAACAGATTCAACCAGTAAAACAGGAATAGGTTGAAATGCCCAGTTCCTATTGTACACTCTTATAATTCACTGGACATCGTCCGTCTGATGATATAGTAGCTACCACCACCACCAGTGAAATGAACTAACTCTTGCTTTTACAACTTCTCACTTTACAGTTAGTGCCCGGATTACCTAAGGAATTGTTGTTTTCAATATGCTTCTAGGGGCTAAGATCTCTCCTTAGTATGTTCTTAAGGATACTATTAGTTTGTAGTGCATTTATTGGCACTCAATAATTAGTTACTTATAACAAATCACAGGGAAAGAAAGTTCTTTCAAGCAACATATTGTTAACTATAAAGCAGAAAGCTATTGAATTACCTTCCTTGCAGTTATAAATTACAAGCAGCAAAGGTACTCATTTTAGCAACTACTTTATCTCAAGCAGCAGTTGAATAGAAAAATCCTGGTTTCACAGAAAAGCAGCTTTGCTGTACCCTATGTGGTAGAGTGATAAGATTATGCAATTAAAAAGGTATTTGTCTCCTCTAAGTACTGACTTTCTATTACTTTTTAAAGACTCAGAACCATAATATTTTGCCTTTCAGGTGTACATATGTCAAGTAAAACCTAAACCCCTTGTTAAACTATTTTTCTCCACCAATACTAAAGCAATGTATTGTGCTGTACTTTCAAAATCCAGTAGAGGGAGAACCTAGGGTGTGCATGTGTGTGTGTGTGTGTGTGTGTGTGTGTGTGTGTGTGTGTGTGTGTGTGTGTGTAAAGTAACTTGTGGTTTACAAACTGCTTTTATATGCTCTCTCATTTGTTTCTCATAGTTACTTTTGAAGTAGATAGTTATTGCCTATTTTAATGTAAATGAATTCTGTAGATCAGTGTGCCCAAAGTGTGACACTCCAAGATATTTAAGCATACAAGGTATTTAATCATGTAATTATTTTAATGTATATAGAAAAATATTTGAATATTAGTATAAATTATTTATAAACATATATAAAACATCAAGCTCATGATTTTACTGGTAATATTGCTTAGCTAACTGGAAATGGTTGTTTTGTTATTTATTATAATAAATGTCAGTGATAATGTGGTAATGACAAAAGTAGTGAGGATGATGCACAAATGAATGAAGTATAAGAAGCATGCCTACCACAGCAGAGAGGAAGGGGGACTTTGAGAGCTGAAGGTACTGAAGTTTAAGACATGTTTATGTTTTTCTTGACACAGCGGAGAAAATGGCTTTTAAAGAAGGAATTTCTAGAAGTTCATTCCCAGTTGCTTATGTGTACCTCAGGCCTGAAACCATTTCTATAGATGCATATCCATAATCTGTATAAATCAACCAAACCAGGTTCTTCTTCAAATCTTGAAGAAATACCTTCATACTTTTCCAAAGTTTATTTGTATCTGTTTCTGACCACACTGGGTCTTCGTTGCTGTGGACAGGCTTTCTCTCGCTGCAGTGCTCAGGCCTCTCACTGCTGTGGCTCCTCTTGGTGTGGAGCACAGGCTCTGGAGCGCTGGAGCTCAGTAGTTGGGGCTCACAGGCTTAGTCACCCCACGGCATGTGGGATCTTCCCCGACCGGAGACTGAACCTGTGTCCCCTGCATCGGCAGGCGGATTCTTAACCACTGGATCACCAAGGGAAGTCCCTCCTTCTGCTTTTGTATGAATATTTTTAAGTCTGCCCAAATAACGTTTTTGCCTTCGCATCCACTTTTTTTTTCATCTAGTCTTTCTAAACCTCAAAGTGATCAAAATACCCCTTATTTTAAAATATCTATATATTTATAGAGTTTAACCAGGTTTTCTTCCAGAACAAGATAAAGATTCTTAAGGCTTATAGCTCTGCATGAGAGAGGAAAATCCTTCCAATTATTTATAGAGTATTGCTCCTCAAAATAGAAATTTATTTTAATTATAAAAAGGCTAACTCACAAAAAAATGCTTTTTTCTATCTGTTTCTCAGAAGAGCTAGAGAAAAAGAATTTGTGGTCTATTTCCAGCATTGTTTAGGGAGTAAGCACTAATGTCCAGTCGTTATTGTTTAGTCACTAAGTCATGTCTGACTCTTTGCAGGCCCGTGGACTGTAGTCTGCCAGGCTCCTCTGCCCATGGGATTTCAAGAATTTTTACATACATTGTATTATTCAATCCTCGGAACCCCCAGGGAGATGCTCAGGATAGGTAGTGATGGTGGTGGTAACCCTACTCAATAGATTTGGGAAAAAGTATTTAAGAGATTAAGGAACAGGGTAAGTGGTAGAGTTGCTACTAAAGGCCAGAATTCTTTTCATTCTGCATCCTTTTCGGTTGCCCTTACAAAAGGGCAATTTATCTAGCTATCCTAACTGGATAGAAATATCCCTTGGACTAGGCTGATATCCATTGTTGTGATGCTATATTCATCAAGAAACTTTCTGGTAAAATATGGACTTATGGATCTTAACCCATCAAGAAGTCAGTGCTCTATAAAAATGATCAATATCAAAACACCAGTATCGAGAAGTGTTTTTTTCTCTTTCCCTAAATGGCTGATGTGAAAATTAAGAATCTGGCATTCTAATATATAAATCGGTTAGCTACCTTGTGAGTTGCTAGCATTAAACGGTTCCTTGGTTCCTAAGCATTCCTGGTTAAACCGGTGTTTCCTCACCCGAGCAATCAACTATCAAGTTGCATTTTCTTTCTCTCCTCTGTCAACACTGTAATTTCATTAGGTAATGACCTAATGAAAGCACTGGACTAATTAACAGTTTTAAGGCCTTGGCTTTTCCTCTTTGGGGGTTGGGGGGCTGTGGTGGTGTGGGGAGGCAGATTCTTAGAAGTTATTTCTGTTTACAATATTTCTGAATATTTATTCTTACACCAATGGATATCCTCTTCTTTCACCCCCAACCCTGGCAGTAATAAAATATTATTTAGAACTGAGAGCATTTATCAGAAAACAGGGATCACAGTTATGCCTTCCAAGAATAGCTGCCTTTGTGAAACATAACTGCAGATGAACTCTTTCGGGAAATGCTAACGGGTATTTCTGATGCAGGTTCAGTCACCTGTGGACTCTGCCACAATGTCCCCAGTCGAGAGGACAGCTGCCTGGGTTCTAAACAATGGGCAGTATGAAGAGGACGTGGAAGAAACTGAGCAAAATCAGGATGAAGCCAAGCATGCTGAGAAGGTAGGATGTAGTCTGGGTTTATTGACTTACTGTCCCCACAGTGATAGGCCACCCACAGGATCATCTAGCCAAGAAAGTGATCTCCCCAACTTCAGCTTCACCTCTTACATTAACCCTTCTATGCATATTCGTGTATATTATTTCAGTAGTGGCTGCATGTGAAAATATGTAGAGATGTTCATCAAGTTGACATCAAGCTATACTGCAAGGGGAGAATGCGTTCTAATTTTTTTTTAAAATATGGGTTGCCTGAGTTTCAAGAAAACTCTATTATTCATTTCTAGTCATTTTAGGTGAATATTTAGTGTTTCTGTATAACTCAACATGTCCAAAATTACCTTGAACTAGACTTCCTTTCTATATCTTTGTAATGATTTTGCCTTTTTTTGCTTTCTTTTCACCTTTTCTAGATAAAGAATTTGTAATGCTATAGATGATTTTTAAAAGACATCAACATCAAAAGAAAAAAACTGAAAAAAAGACTAACTATTGCGTCAGTTTTGTTTCATTTTGTTAAGAAAAGCTGACATGAAGAAAAAGATTATAACACAAGAACCTTAACGTCATGTACAGCATTATCTCATTTAATTAACCAGACAACTAGCTTCTGTTTGTTTATTAGCAGAATCCTAAAAGCTATGCTTATTGATGCAGTTTGCCTCTTCAAACTGTATAAGAACTGTCATCTTTGACCTTCTGGATTAATAAGCTTAGTTTAGGACCATGACATTGGAATAAGCAGAAGCTAATTGTCCAATTGTTGATTAAATGAGATATGACGTGAAAATACATTGCATTTTACAAAGCAACATATAGGTTTATCATTAATGACTAATGAATTTAAGTAGACCATATACAAGAAAACTTAATGCTTCTTACCTCATCCAGAAATTTGACATTCCAGTTACTCAAACCCCAACCACAGCAGCTTCAGTACAAGAAAGGACCAGATAACCAACTGAATTCTATGAAGCTTTAGTGAGAGTTTGTTATATAAAACTTTGGTGAGAAAACAGGCATATATATGTGTTCCAACAAGTAGTGGCAAATTGGGCAGATGAACAACATCATAAAAATGGGCCAAGAGGCAGTATTAATCAGCCCCAGAGAACATGTAGGCCTTTTGCTTAAAGCCTGTGACCTGAGTGTTTTACACTTCCATGGACAGGGAGAAAGCAGCAATAATGTATTGTGCTATAAAAGTATCTATTGATTTAGTAGCTTGTCACTATAGAAGTGCTGCTTGCTCTTTAAAGGGCTGATTCTAAGGGTGAAAGAATGGCAATCAGATGAGTCAAGCCATGTCAGAGATCCTATAACACAGGAGATGTTACAGAAACCTTTCTCTTGTAGACAGCTGGCTTTTGGCTTATTTTAAGCTTCTAAGTGCCTACCTGGCTGCCTTTTTTTTTTTCCTGTTCCCGTTGGATACCATCACAGATTAGATGTGGCTTACAGCAACCTCTAGTTTAATGTAGAGAGTGATATATAAATATATAGATTTGGAATGCCGAGTTAAGACATCATTTTAGGAGGCAGGCAGGCCTCCATTACCATGGATGCCTGGGGATCATTGTGAAGAGTATCAGCAGCCCGTGGAGTGGCCACTCAGACAGCATCCAGCTACACTGCTTCAGTTCAGTTCAGTTCAGTAGGGTTTGATAGAAAAAATCAGTCACTGACATCTAAAACCAGGGCAACTCCAGTTCTTTTCTCCTTGTCTTTGGCACCTCTTCTCCTCTGCTCTCCCTGGTAGCTCAGATGATACAGAATTTGCCTGGAATGCGGGAGACCTGGGTTTGATCCTTGGGGTCAGGAATATCCCCCCTGGAGAAGGAAATGGCAACCCACTCTAGTATTCCTTGCCTGGAGAATCCCGTGGACAGAGAGGAGCCTGGCAGGCTGCAGTCCATGGGGTCGCAAAGAGTCAGATGCAACTGAGCAACCAACACTTTAACGTTTCTTTCTCCTCTGCTATAGTACGAACAGGAAATCACCAAACTGAAGGAGCGCCTGCGAGTGTCCAGCCGGCGACTCGAGGAGTATGAGCGCCGATTGCTAGTGCAGGAGCAGCAGATGCAGAAACTGCTGCTGGAGTACAAGGCCCGGCTGGAGGACAGCGAGGAGCGGCTGCGCAGGCAGCAGGAGGAGAAGGACAGCCAGATGAAGAGCATCATCAGCAGGTCAGAGGCCGCCTGGCAGCGGACATGGGCTGGCTCGGGGCACACAGAGGTGGGATGATGGCTAGAGGATCCTAAAGCAAGCACTGCGTGTCCTGCGTGTCCTCCGTGATACTCTGTACAAGGGTGAAGGCTGGCTGTATCTCTTACACTTTGCCACATGTGAGACTTTAGTGCACTTCCTTTGAGGCTAGAGGTAGTCTTTCCTTTAGTTGTAACAATTAGAAACAGTTAAAACTTAGTGACTCACTTAAGAGGTCTTAGAACAAAACTGAATTTTAAAAGTGTCAGTATCCAATGTCCAAGGCTAATTTAGATTTTTGCAAGTCCAGAGAGGTCTAACAAGACACTGGACATCTTTAGGGCCAGAGAATCAAGGCAGAGGGCCAAGGACGTCCAAGGAAGACCAAAGGAGGGGGGCAATTTTACCAAACACTACATAGCACTGACTGTGGGCCAGGCACTTTTCTAAGCACTTTGCAAATAAAATTTGTTTGATCTGTTACTAATAATTTGTTTAATGCCAACCTCTGAGGTCAGCATTATTATTATTCTCCTCCTCTTACAAGTAAAGAAACAGGCAACAAATTCATTAAATCACTTGCCCAAGGTCACTTAGTGGTGCAACTGGGATTTGAAGCCAGGTAGTCAAGCTGGCTAGCCTGATGCTCACAGCCACTGTGCTTCAGGATTGTTAAGTGCCATGGGCAGGTCAAAAAGAGTCTGTTGTTTTAGCAGCACAGAAAGATTTAGCAGTCTTACTGAGAGCCCTTCCATGGAGTTAAACATCAGGGGATTAAAATATGAAATGCATGAGGAAAAAGGTAGGCCTACTATGTGTAGAGTACACTCAGAGAACATTTAGCTGTTCAGGGGAAGGAAAGGTCAGCTGTTGCAAAGTAAGGAGACTAAGAGAGGGTTTGATTTGTGTCAGTAGATTTGCTGTTTTAAACTAAGTTGTACTGAGGAAAGGATCTGATAGAGGAGAGGGAGGTAATGATGGTGAGAGTGCTGTTGCAGAGGAGATGGAAACATGTGGGATCCAGTCCCAGGAGAGGAGTCAGCTGTGAATGTCTTCTCCCAAGGCAGGCAAGAAGACAGAGCCCGGTGCAGATCTTGCACTAGGAAGGAGTGGCGACACTGAGCTGTCCTGACTGAGTGTGGGTGTCTTGTTCTGTGTGTTAGCCTGCTCGCTGCTTGAAGATGTTGGTCTCTCCTTCCCGCCCCACTCTAGGCTAATGGCTGTGGAAGAGGAACTGAAGAAGGATCATGCTGAGATGCAGGCAGTTATTGATGCAAAGCAAAAAATAATCGACGCACAGGTAAGCAGGTTCTCAGTCTAGCAGAAGTGACTGGTTTATCGTAACTCTTATCTCCCGACTTCCCATCCCTTACAAACACCAAGGCACATAACAGAAAACAGATCATTGGAAAGCTCTCGGCATTACCTTTCGCAGATTTTTTTTAAATGTTTCTTTGCGACCTCTACGACCTTTTCCTTCCTTTACTGGTGACGCATCCGTTAACCCAGCAAAGTTTTAGCGTGCTTTAGTGCAGGTGCTCGACAAATCTCAACCTGCATGACGGGCTTTACTTCTTTCCTTCTGGAAAGGAGGGCATTCTCTCAGGGGGGCACCTGTGAAAAGTCCACTGCATGTGTCTGGCTTGTGACCTCCACTGACCATTGCTTGGCTATGACGTTCACGGTCTCGTCAGTCACGTCCACTGTGCCATCAGCCTCTGGCCCCAAACAGTAGTTGAGCTTCAGGGGAAAGACAGGGCTGCAGAAGGTACCCTGCCTTGTTATTCTTTTGGTTCAGTGACAGGCATCAGTGCCTGGGGTTCACTGGCCACCCTTCTCCACCGGTGCTGTGCTTGGAGAGCCTCTTATGGTTGATGAGATCAGAACCTGGGTGTCTGTTCCCTGTAGCTTCTACCTGTGATGCTAACAACACAGTGATGGCCAGGGGCTCCTCACAGGTTCTCAGAGCAAAACCCAGGAAGTGTTTCTAATGCCTTTTCATCTTTTCAGTGCAAAACACAGTTGTATTTCTTAGAATGAAACAAATAACGAGAGGCAAGTGCCGTTTGGATGTGGCTGGTTTGGCCACTGAATATATCCTTTCTCTAAAGACCACCCAGCCAGGCTTGTGTTTCTCACCCTTAAGTATCATATCATTTCCATAAGGTCTGAAATAAAAATGGGAGCAAGCCTTTATATGTCCTACTTTCTTCTCTCCTTCTCAGCCAGTAGTCAGTCTATGGTAGAGCCACCCAGTATTCTTAAAACACACATTCCATTCCCACTCTGGTTTCCTGACAGAGCTAATGTGGGATGGGGTACATTTTTCAAAGGAATAGGGAGTGAGGCTGAAAACACCGCTGGGGAAAGTATGTGTCCTGGGCCTCATACTCCCTCATGTACACAAGACCCAGAAGTCAAGTGCGAGTTCCAATGCTCTCTTGTCAGCACAGTTCCCAGAATGATTTGGACCCTTGAACTCTAGTTTCCAGATATTTAGACCTCCTAAGAATCAGAAGAAAGTTCTTAGTTGGTCCTTTCTTTAAAGGTGTCCCCAGGGTGGATGACAGAGAAGGAAGGGTTGCACAGACAAGGAAGGCTATCTCGACAGGCATTAATCCAAGCGGCTTAAGAGAAACAGGCTGGGTAAAGACAGTTTAGTCAGGAAAACTAGTGTTGGTAAGTGTTCACTTTGGGATTTTCAACATGAGAAGAGAGTTCTATGAATAACTACACTCAAATAGATTTTAGTTCTAATGAGATAATACAGATTGTTTTAATAATGTCCGCTGGTCTAAAACTGTGGCAGCCTGAGCAGAGGGGGCCTAGGGGTGTCCCACTCGTGGCTGTGTGCATACAGTCCGATATCCTAGTTGCCTGTTGAGGCAGTCTCATCATTAGCTTCTGAAGATTTCTATCCTACCCTGCCCCCGATTTTGATTTCTACGGTAAGATGGCTGGACATGAAGCAGGAGTCATAGGCATAGCAGGTGAAAGCAAAAGAGGGAAACAGGTTCATCAGGGCTCAAAAGCTCTGGGAAGTCAGGACCTTCTCTCAGTTAACAGAGGGGAGAAAGGGAGAACTGTTATCCTCAAAGCACTGGTCGATGTCAGACTTGTAGTCTGGCTAAACTAGACAGTAGTTTGGGTCCATACCTCAAGGCAGTGGTTTTCAAATGGTTTGATTCTGTGGACTGTTTTGGTGGAACCAGAGGCACCTTCCGTAGATCCCTTTCCAGCTGCTCCTACTGACCACTCAGCAACAAGGACTTCTCTCAAATAATGGATCAAATCATGTTCAGGTTAGCTAAACATCATAAATTACACATCCAAACACAAGCATTACTGTATAGTAAACTTTAAGAGGAAGCTCACTTTGGACCCCTAAAGCACACTTGAAGAATCCATTAGACCACATTTTGAAAACCATCACATGATGCCCAGCACAGATGATAAACACTAAAGCTAGCTTTTTCAAAAATTATAATCTCCTTAAAAGGAAGGGGATTCCCAGTTCCAGCTGCTGTCTCACTGACACATTAAAAATCTTTTTCTAGCAAAAGACTGTGAAAATCCTTTGGTGTCCTTTGTAACAAATGCCTCTTCCTCTGAAAGAATAAGTAACCTAACATCTTAAGTGTTTGATGGAGCAGAACAACCCTTCTGGCACCATTTGCTAGAATGAGGACATGTTTGGGGTAAAAACTTCCCAGCAAGGTAATGCACACCTCCGTGCCCCTGATATCTGCCTTGGTGCCACTGGCAGTTAAAAAATATTTCTGAAGTGATGTGCTTTCCTTATACTAGCATCAGGCCCAACACTTCCCAAAACAGGACAGGACAGGTACCCAGTGAACGGGTTTCCATCTCTCAGCAGCCATATGCCCCTCCAGACCAGGCTTGTCCCTGAATCCAGCCTCTTCATCTCCTAGAGTCAGTTCATGCTCCATGGCCCCCCTGGTGTCTGCCACTTTCTAACTGGAACTAGGAGATGATGAGTATTCCCCTAGTGACCCTGTCCTAGAAGATGAGATCCTGGTGATGGTACTAAGGGGTCATTTCTTAGACATCAGACCAGGGGCTGTCCTGTCTTCCACCCCAACCGCCTCCCTGCTCCAGGGATCTCTCCAGGTGACTCAAATGGAGAACAGAGAAGGGCGTCCTAGGAGAAGCGAGCAGCTGCCTAGTTACTCTTGCAAGTGATATCTCCACTGTGTTAAATTACAGGTCATAAATGGAGATGAGATTATGCAAACAGGCAAGTAACCCCGTCCGTCCGTTCTCTAGCTGAGCAGTTCCCAGCCCTGGCCCGGTGCACTGGCCTCCTACACATTCCAGCTCCTGCACTCCCCACACTCAAAGCCCTTCCTGTCAGGCCGGAACTGGATTGCTCTGCCGTTCACGCCAGGCAGAGTGAAAATGTCAAGGCATCTTTTGCCAACTGAACTTGACTTTTAAAAGTCCCTGTTTGATTTTTTTTTGTTTGTTTGTTTTACTTTGAAAGGTTGGCACTTGGGGGGGACGTTACAAAAGGGAGTTTGTCCACTTGGAAGTTTTCAACTGTTGAGTAAAAGGGTTGCTTGACTTTAGTTGTTACTCTTGCAGGAAATAAATAAATACAGCCATTCTTAACCTTCTTTTTGACCCTTTAAGAGTCAAATAATTTTTCATGAATGCCTAATTTCTTTGGGTCAACCCTAGAGAATCGTTTATTCCTTAGAACTGGAACATTATAATTTATCCTAATACTGAAATACCTTCTTTTTTAATCATTTTGAGATATTACCTGTCTTTCTGCTTAGAGATCATTTCTAACCATAGTAGGGGGGAACATCATATCTGGTTCCCACCCCATTTTCCCTGGTAGTCACCGGCCAACCCTTACTTATTGACTTTTACAAGATCTAAACTTGTTACCTCAGTAAACTCCACTGGCTGTAATTTTTTTTTTAATTATTATCTTTTTAAAAGCCTTGTAGTTCTTTCTTTCTTTCAAGTTTTGCTTATCCTTAAAACCAAGTTACCTTCCAAGAGTATAAATCTTATGCTAAATTTGTGTTTAATTAATAATGCTGATTTATATATGTATATCTTACCCCCTGAGTTCTTTATCAGGGAAAGGAAAAAAAATTTAATGATATTAACAAGTGTGAGCTAGTTTTTTTTCATACTTTTGAAACTGTGACCACCAGCCCTGCTCCATATAGATTCCCCAAAGGCAAAAGATTAAAGAGAAGCCTTACCTGATGCTACTGTTGTATTGGGTTGGCCATAGAGTTCATTTGGGTTTTTGTACGCTGTTACCAAATGAATATTTTGGCCAACCCAGTATATGCTTTCCTCCCTAAATGTCCCCCCAGGGCAATGGTCTTCCCTCTGCATCTTGGGCGGCACGTTTCCCAACAGGGCAGTGCTGCTCACAGCCGTGTGGAGCTACTCCTGTAACAGCGAGGAATAGCATCCATCACATGGATGTTTGTGTGTCCTCTCTAACCCCGACCATGACCCTTCTTACTATGCTTTTCCCTGAGTAAATGAAAACAATCCCTGGGTAGGAAACCTGTTTTTGGCTCTGGGGGGTTGTTCCTCACATGCTTTTTTTTTTTTTTTTTTTTAATTAATTTTTTTCTGAAAAATGGCAACTTCATGTAGGAAAGGGTCTAGAATGATTTACCTAGCTGCTGAAGCTAAGATTAGGATTTCTCTCCTAGTCTTTGCAAAACTAATAATATTTTGATGGGATGATTTTTATTTATTTTTTTAAAATTTAGATGAGTCTGCTTTTCTCTGATTGCCACTTTGTTCCTCCAGTTTTTCTCTTTTTTTATGCGTGTATTCAACAGTCTTTGGTTCCAAGGTCTTAATTCAAAGGCTTTTTTTTTTCTTTCTGAGATCCAAAAGTAAAATGGAAGCAGTCTTCCTTATTGGATAGCTTTCCTGGAGTACCTCTGAGCTGGAATGAGTCTGGGAGCTCGTGTTCTCTGTTTGTTTCCATGTGTTATGTTTTCGGCATCCCCCTCCGGCCACACCTCCCTTCCCACATTCAAATAACCCCTTGGTCTAGCTTTTGGCTGCTCCTTCCCCCTCTTGCTGTCGCATCCTCACTTTGTCAGTGACTATGAACTGCCACCATGTATTGTTTCAGTTTTGAGCACCGTGTGAAATCTTTCCACATGTGACCAGTGTGCCCTCTTTGGGGGCTGAGAACCCATAGATCACATGCACTTCTCCTCTGTGAAATGAAACCTCTGGTGCTTCTTTCTTTGCCACCTAATTCCCGTGTTTAAGTTTTGACCCAGAGCACTTAATACAGCAAGGCAGCTTGACACCTCTGTCTCATAGTCTGAATAACACATGGTGTCATTTTTATGTGATGTCTTAGGGCCCCAAGGGGTGATGAGTAACAAACCCTGCAATGCTAAAAGAAACACAAACCCATTGGGCCCAGGGGAAGCTGGCCCGACTCGGGCGCAGAAAGAGGCAGAGACGTTCCATTTGTCTGGGAAGCATCATGTGCACTGCTGTTTGATAGAAAGCATTAGAACAGTCATTTGGTAGAGCATTACGGCTCAGTTGCCCACATGGAGCCAGAATAAAGCCCTGTTTGGTGTGTTGTAGGAAAAACGGATCGTGTCGCTGGATTCGGCCAACACCAGACTGATGAGCGCGCTGACCCAGGTGAAGGAACGGTACAGCATGCAGGTCCGAAATGGCATCTCCCCCACCAACCCCACCAAGCTTTCCATCACGGAGAATGGTGAATTCAAAAACAGCAGCTGCTGACGGACGGGCCTCACAAATAGACAGACTGTGGGAGGAGACAGAAGGAAATGTCCCCACTCTTCTATTCCCAGCCCTCTCCCAAGCCCCACCAGGTTTACAGAATGCCGCTGCTTCAGAACAGCAGGGTGGCGAGCAAGTCTGGAACGAAGAAAGGAACCTTGTCTTTCAGGGCATAAGGCTAAGACTGCCAAGGTCGACGCTTCCCCCACCCCCACCCCACGTCTCTGTGTACATAGGGAACTTAGTTCTGGACCATGTACAGAAAATACCACTGTAATATACCGAAAGGAAGTTAATAATGTAGATTACCTTTTTAACTATTGCTATTTTTATTATTATTGTCCTCTTGTTGAAAGCACTGCAGTTGTTAGAGGAGGAAATGTAGGAGCTATGTACGTGAATGAGAGCCGAGCCCAGCCGCTCAGTAGGTAGAGACCACGCATCTGTCTGATAGAGCACACGGACCGCAACAGGACATGGTCAGAATGAATTTTTCAGGGATTCATCTGCCAGGTTAAAAGCCCCGCTCTGGTTCTCTTGTCCTGTAGGAAAACATGAAAATTACCAAGATCCAAATGAAACAGTTTATCCCACTGATCAAGCGGGACTGGTTCTACATGGACAGCTAATCTGACTTGGGGATAAACTGTTCCAGAGGACACAGAGAAAAGCTGTTGCATCGAAACCGGACTCTAGGAGTAGTTTCTATTGAACTCCTGTTAATGTTCATTTCCTTCTGTCTGTAGCAGATGGAAATTTTTCCACTTTAAGTAGGGGGCTTTTTTTTTTTTTAACCCCAGTTGTAATAAAAGGTGTTCTTTTTCCTCTTTAGAGTTTACAAAACTATAAATATCTGTGTCTCTAGAAACCATCTTCATCTTCACATACCCACTTGCCCTTTCCTCCCCCATGGTGGGAGCAGTTATCACCAACAGGGTTTACTCTCCCCTGGAGAGGTTATTCAAATCTACTGTCCATAAGCCATCTGAAAGAAACACCCTTTCTTCCGTACAGAAAAGGGCTAACCATATCATACCATAGCAGGAAGCTCTGAATAGTTCCTATTAAAAATTTTTCTTCTATTTGTAAGTTACAACTTTGGTTTGGGATAAAAATTTTATCCAGTGTACTAGCAGGTCTTGGGGCAGGGTAATTTTATCTCAGTCTTTCACTTTTAAATTGCTTCTTCTTTTAAATTTGGACAAGAAATCCAAATCAGAAGCATTGCTCTCTTAAAAGTCATGATTACTCTTAATGAACTACTGAAAGTGGGAGGACAGCATATTCCAGCTGTTATTCCCATGTTCTTTGTAGATTTGGCAATAATAACCCAGTTTCACTAGTTGTCAGCCATGGCTTTATTGTAGGACAGAAACAGTTATGGAAGTTCATTTACTTCCTTTTTTTTTTTTCCCAGAGGTGTGAAACATCATCTTAAATGCAACCTTGATTATCAGAAGTATGAAATGTTACAAGTTAGACAGATAGTATATAGAGAAGTATATATACACATATATTCACACATATGTACGTATAACTGCACAAATAGGAAAAGTTCCTGCCTTCTATGCTGTCGGATTTAATGTTACAAGGAGTTAGAATCTCATTAAGCAAGATCTAAGCAATTGCTTATATTGAGAAAGCAACCACATTTCTCAAGTAAGTTAAATGATGTTTATTTTAAATGATAAACTTTAGGGAATTTTTTTTTTTAAGGGAGAGGAGGGAGGGAAAAAAAACACCTGAGGAAGCCATATGCATGGAGTGAGTGTTTCCACATAACTATAAAGCGGACAAGAGAACACTTATCAGGTCCCCTTCTGGGTGAAGCCCCAACAGAGTCACTGAGCTTCCCTTTCTGCTGTACCGCAGACTTGCATTCTGACCTCTTAAGCACTGCCCTCGGGTAGATCTGTGTGTTTGACCTTGTATCTCCACAACCTCACGTGGCCCCCGACCCACAGCCTCTTGAAATATGTCCCTCCCATAACGTCCCCAGTCCTGCCTGTCGAAGGTCGGAAACAGGAGCTGCCCAGTGTGCTTATCCAGCTGCAGACATAATGCCACATGTTTTGGCACTTGTGAATTTTCTTGACCCCTGGTCATGATTTTATAAATTCTTATCCCCTTTCCCTCCAAGCTGAGGACACACTGCGGCCAAAATCACACACTGTGGCCTTGGAAATCAGATGGAGTGCTGGCAGAATGCTTTATCTAGCTGACAACCAGACTAGGCCATTAATAAGGACAACATTGGCATGATTTATTTGAATAGGAAAAAAAAAAATACCAATTCTGAAATAGTGCTCCATATTGGGGGAAGAGGGTATGTAAACATAGGTCTGTTCTTGTTTGTGACTATTTTCAGCTCTAGCTATTCTCTATAAAAGCCTTCAGAAAACCTGGTAAAAGAATGGTCAGTTTCAGTGGCCTTAAGTATGTATCGTTGGTGATGTCTTTCATTGAGGTTTGGAAGTTCTTGGGTAGAGGTTATGGATGACAGAGGTCTGATAAACTGTTTTGGAGGGTTGGGGGAGACACACAAAACCAAATATGTTTTTGATGGATGCAATACATCTTATCAGCATTATGTGAGCTTCAGAGATGGCTGCCTCATTTGGAAGATTAGATGCCCAAAATGTTTGTATAGATTATGCAGCCCTCTGTTATTATCAGGTTACCTTGAATGAAGAGGAAAGAGTATACACAAATAATAAAATCAGAGGTAAGCTAGAAGTTCAGTGTAGTTGCCAGATGTTAAATTTTAAGTTATCCTTTGAGCTTATTCATGTCTGAATATTTTTTCTGAGTATTTGTTTAGAGAATGCTGCAGTCTTATAGAATTTATTCCAAAAGATTTTTTAAGTATGGAAAAAGTCAGTAATAGCCAATAATTTTTATGGTGGTATTGCTCAATTGGCTTTTCTTCAGCCCAAATAAGTACACACCTCTGTTTTACTAGGAGGAGGTGCATGTTTGAAGAGAAGCAGGTGGATTAAGATAGCACATCTTGCACGCCTTCTAACACCCAACATGCCACCGCATGATGGGGTGCAGCATGGACCAAGGCTGGAGTTTGGAAATCAGATGAAGTGCTGGTAGAATGCTTTGTCTAGCTGACAACCAGACTAGGCCATTAATAAGGACAACATTGGCAGGATTTAGGGAAAGAGCTTGATACTTCCCGTTTATTTTCACTGGAGCAATATGCTTTCTGAGCTGAAGCAGCAAGAAGGAATAACATTTCCTTCAGGTCATCACATTCCAAGTCTCTGCAGTACAAACCCTGATGGAAGGGAGATTGTAACTAGGTAACTAAGACAAACACTTGAGCACTTACTATGTTCCAGGCACTGTTACCAAGGTTCTGCTGGGCTCTAGGGCAGTCTGTTGTAAGGGAAGTGTGGTAAAATGAGGTCATCATGCTGCTGTAACTTGGCCTTTTTTGCTTGTCATTGAGTTGGTCAGAATTAGCTTTCTCTGGTCCATTTCTGCCATCCCCTGTGATGGTGCTGGACAGGGAAAGAAAAAGTAGGATTAACTATCTAGGACTGCTGTATGCCCTTGAGAATTAATTTGACTTTCGAGGTAAAGCTTTTTAGATCTTAGTCTGTTTACAGATCTGTAGCTCTGCCGACCCTCAGTTCTCTGTCTGGCCTCAGAGATGCACCGGGTTGAGAGCAGTTCTTTTTTGGAAGCCCCAGAGCAGGACCATCACCATCACGTGAGTTCAGTTAGTTTGTTCTGCCTTCCATCTAGGTTCAGTTCTAGTTATCTCCATTTTGGAGTTTCTGAGAAGGCTGGCTGTGGGACTAAACTTGGGGAAGGAATCCTCCTTGGGATGACCGAAGGCCCATGTGACCCTGACTAGAGTTGACACCAGACAAGATTTGTCACTGGGTCTGATTCAGCGGCTCTGGAGCCCACGCCACAGCTTCCCTGTACTTTTAGCCACTTCTCGGGGGGCCATCTTCTACACATTATGGAAAACCAAAAAGGCTTTCTTCTTCATTTCCCCTTCCCTTTTTCAAATCTAATAGTGAAATCTCCTGTTCACTTCAGCAGTAAATAGTTGCCTTCCCACCCCCTACCTGAGGGCCAAGGATTTGGGATACTTTGTTTTTTTAATCAATATGTCCATTGAAAGGACCTATTTTGTTTCCTTTTTTAAAAGCAAGATATGTTGGGGTGTTAAATTTTTAAGTAGACTCTCTTTTTGTGTTTGAGTGATTGTTATTAGTTCTAGAAGCATTCTCTTGTCATGACCCAGTTATGAATGCTCTTGAGTTTAGGAAGGACAAAAGTGATGAAATTTGCATGAGGTAGAATAAATAACTTATGAAGAGTGAAAGAACCTGAGAAGATGCATGATCCAAAAGGGGCTGATGCACAGCAGTCTTCTTCAAAGCCCAACAGGTTCAAGGAAACAGGAGGATTTATTATCCTTTGCCCAATCTCAAAATATACAAGATACATAGAAAGGCAGTTTCTGTAGAAACATGACATGGGCACCCACGCAAACACATGATTCTTAGGGCTTCCTTTTTCTGAATGTCAATCCATCTCATCAAGCAGTGATTCTCAAACGTCCTTGAGATTTTTAGATTTTATGCCCTCATCTGTTAGATTGTACGACAGTGGTTCTTTCCTCTTTTAAAATGTACCATATGTGTTATATGTATATATGTTAAAGTGACTTGAAATTGACTTGGTTTGACATTGTCTCAAGAACCCAAGATAACATTATTGATACCTTGGGAAGTCATAGAAATAAAGTTGAATGTCACTGATCTGAGAGTAGAGTCCAGAAAGAAGTAGCTTTGGTTCCTGATCCATTTATCCTCAGGTGTTTGAGTAAGGCTTGGCCATGAGCCACCCAAGGAAAGCCAAGTGGTTGGTTGTGTCCATATTTCAGCATGCATTTTAATTTTCTCCTCAGTTCTTAGTTTTCATTGCCTTTGTTTTTTCCCAGGAAATGTTTTAGTTCAAACCTTAAAACC